AAATAACTTAGCCCATGGCTGAAAACACAAACATAATTATTTCAATCTGAAATCTCAGACCCGAGATTCAGGTTGAAGATAACAAATGGTAAAGAAGAGAAATAACAAACATATATTAATAACAATTAGGTTTACAACACAGAGAAATAAAATGGAGAAGTATGAATATTGCTTCTGAGGAGTCTCAACTGGTGAAAAAGAATGGGAAAGAGCTGTTGTCACTTAGCTATTCTATAACTATATAAGTAAAATACAGAAACTTAAACTACAACTAGGTGATCTTCTTCTTAAGGAATTCGATCATTTCTTTGTGTGGGATTCTTCTATTTATAAGCTGAAGGAATGGATGGAAATCTTGTGATTCTTCTTCAGTTGTTCCTTGATTGAATGGAAAGGCGGTTGACTGGTGCTCTGACCAGTGAAGCAAGTTGTTTGATTAGATGGCTTAGGGTTGAGATTTTCCTTTTTATTTTGAGACCCTCATACTTGCTTTTTCTCTAAACCAATGAGCACTCTTCGTTCTCTACTGTACATATTTCTTCTTGCTTGATTGTTGTACTCCTTTATTCTTTTAGACGCTTCTTTTCAATGTTTCCTTTAAAGTAGTCAGAGAATAGGTTAGTGGAGCAGGTGTACAACTAAGTCAAATCGTTCCTCTTTTCTTGTATTATCAGCTGATTACATCATCATTTGTTCCCTTCTGATACTTCTGTCCTCAGAATATGGAATGTGTCTTTACAGCAAAAATTGGTTACCAGTTGACGGAATAAATGGAATTTTACCATCAAAATGGGCTTGAATGGGAACGATTTTTCAACCCATCAAATACCCCAAAACTAAACTGTTGGTTGTCCTCAAATAACTCAGAAGTAGTGACATAGCTGTCCAATTTCAAAGAAAAGTTCAACACTAAAAGTTTAGCAAATGAGAAACATAATTTATTCAAAAATAAACTCCTATCATAGGTTTTAGAGTAAGAAAGAATTCACTCAAAGGTAAGTGAAGGTTATTGATCTTCTGTCCTACTGATCACTCAAGGTTGGTGTTTCTCTGTATGCTCCCAGGTGTGATTCCTCAAACTTGCTTATTTGCTGCTTTCCTATAAGGTACTTGTGTTTTCCAATCAAAGGGGCTTTTTATGGATAAGTCAAAGGACTAGGGTGAAGAGGTGATGTATGGAAGTTCATTGATTAAGGAACGTTTGTATCTGTTCTTCTGCTGAGAGTCTTTTTGGATATTTTCACTGGGAACGTTCTTTCTTTGTTTTACTGCCTTTCTTTCCTTTCTTTGTTGGAAGCTTTCTTTTGGTAGTAGTTTTCTATATTTTCTCAAACGTCGTTCCCCTTTTTGTTGTGACTTTTGTCTCTTATCTTTGGCAACTTATCTTATTTCATTCCTTGATCCTTTTTATCTGGCCGTGTGGCTTTTGATGGGGTGTATGTGAATGTACTGATGGAGGTGTTTAGTATGAACTATGGTGGGGTGACTATTTGATTGATGGCCTTTATCCTTTTAGGGTTCACATGTATCTCTACAGTACTAACAGTATCAAGGAAATTTCAGAGGTTTCAGTGTAGTCGCACCTTGGGAACGTTCTCATAGGAGTGTGTTTGGCTTTCTATTCCTCACTCGTTGGTTCACATAGATCAACATCCTTCACAAATCTAAGGGTTAAATTCAATTTTCTTTTCATTTATTTTCAGAATTCTAGTCAAGAGTAAAAAAAATGTTAACTCATTTGCCTTCTACCTCATGCTTTTACTTTTCATTATCAGGCAGCAGAATTACTACAACTGAGTTGTTCTTCTTAAAATAGTTGAATTTTAAACATTCAAAAAGATTTTTACTAGAATAGAAAAGTTTTTACACTGTGGGAAAAAAAACTAAAGCTAAAGCTATGATAAAGATAACAAAATGCAATTAAAAGGAGGGTTTTCCTCCTTTCACTGTTGACGCCTCTTCTCTAGGCTCTTCTTCTTCTCTTCTTCATCCTTCTCAATTTTCTCCTGTGTTAGTGGTCTCTCCTTTAATTTTTCTTTTACCCTTTTTAGTTCAACTTCGGGAAACTTCTCTCAGAAGATCATTGACCACAAAGGTGAGATGCTCAATGGTGTTTCTCATCATCACCCTACCATTATGGATATGCACCAGTTGGCCTTCAACATCTTCCACCTTGTCTTCTAGCTGAGTAACCCTCTCCTCCAGGAAGGTTCCAAAGACTTTAAAAGTTTGTTTGGTTTCTGCACATGCCACAACATCTTTGTTCAGGAGACGACTAAGTTGCAACTCAACTCTAGTGTTGTGCATGGCATGGGCATGCCTTAATGCTTCAGCTGCATCTCTGACCTCGTTCCTTACAGCTTGTAGAGTTATTGCAGAGGGTGCAACATTACTGTTCCTCATGGCTGTAGTGATAGAGTTGATGAACTGCTCCCTTTCTACCTTTTAGCTTCTTCATTTTCTGAATAATTTTGGGTTGGGGAATGGAAGATGATGGTTCATCAGCAAGTGACTTGTTGCAACTTTTTGAGGTGTTGTGGTAGAGGGGATTATGGCTAACTGTTCCTCCATCAGTAGAGGAACGTCAAGTCCTTCTTCTTCAACTAGGGCTCTAGCTAAAGCTTTGTTCCTTGAGGTGTCAGGACAAATAAAAGAAGAGGAAAGAGGTCATCCCAAGTTGATTTGTCTGGGGATAACCACATTTTTCTTCTTTGGGGGACTCTGAGCAATCCCCTTGCCTTTATCAGTGCTTTTCTGTGGCTGAGCTGCTTCATGTTCTTGCTCAGCCATTTGTTTTTCAGCAACCTGTTGTTTTTAACTGCTTTTGATTCTTTCTGCCCTACTTCCTCTTGTTTCTTGGAGGAGGGTTGTTGTGATTTTACTGGTGGTGGTGATGATGATCTAAGAGGTGATGCCTGTAAAGAAGGAACGTTAGAGAAACCAAAAATTTCAGGACTACCTGGGGACGTCGCCTTGGTAGCAGCCTAGGATTTTGAGGCTTCGTTCCTCTCCATTCTTTTAGCAATAGGGACATCATCCTCACTATCTTCTTCCTTATCAAAGAGGGTGATGGGCATTTCAGAGGTAGTTCCCTCTGAACTTTTTGTACTGCTGAAGGTTCTCTTCAGCCTCTGACTAGATCGTTCCCCCTTTCTGTGAGGAACTTTTCGAGAAAACTTGGAAGTAGATTTCTTCTCTGGCTTGCTTTCAGTAGCAGCAGGAGTCTTCTTCTTTACTTTTGGTAGAGTGAGAATGGGTTTGGATGGTTTTGTGGCTGAGATGGTAGAGATAGGCTTTTTGGTCTTGGTTTTTTTTTTATAGGTTTGGGGGTAGGAGCTTCTTTTTCTTCCTCTTCTTCTTCCTCATTGATCATAGAGACCCCATATCTAATATTACTCTCATAAGGTTTGTGGGGTTTCTTTGAGGTATGTTATCCTCAAAGTGTTCCAAGTCTTATGGTCAAGGACTGACCCAATTGATGGTTCCTCATCTGGAGGAATTGGAACACCAGCTCTTAGATAGAGCATGGAAATTAAATTGGGAAGGCAGTTGGTTGGTTTTCTAAACTCTTTTTTCAGACTCTCATAAATGAGGAGTGGTGCATTGAAGGAAATGTTCCTCATGATGCAATACACCTGCACTTGCAGCGCCCACTTCACAGTAGCATCATGGGTTGAAGGAGTCATCAGATTAGTGATGGCAAAAAGAGGCCAGAATCTGGCCTCATCTAGCAGGCTACTCTTATAGAGAGATCCCTTGGCGTACGTTGGTTTCTCCAAGGCTATTAACTTCAGTACCACCAGTTTGAATTTGAGGTCATCTTTCTTCTTCATGTAGTCTGAGTAGGGGCTGTAGCTCACTATTGGTAGGGAAAACACCTTGATAGTCTCAGGGGAGAATAAAACTTTCTTCCCCTAAACCACCACCTCATCTTTCTAGTCATTCTCTAGAATTCTCTTTGCATGATATAAAAACTCAACAACCAATGAAGGGTAGAAACTCCGTTCTTCTATTGCAAACTTGCACCACCTAAGGTTTACAAGTGTTGCAAGTATGAAGTTGGCATGATGGTTTCTTTCTTACTCAGCTGAATGTACCTCTCTGGGTAAAGGGTTACATTAGGTTCTGTAATTTTTGGCTCTTAGGAGTAGTCAGAAATAGGTGTTATGGTAAGCTTAGCTCTAGTCATGGTTGTGGTTGGAGAAGGATTAGGGCAAAGCAAAGAAGAAATTGGGAGAAAATGAGACTTAAGTTTTCTGAGCTTCAAGGGGAGTGATAGAGTATAACAGCGAAGGAGGAAGATATAGTTAGATAGGCATGCAAAAAAGAGAGAGAAACCAATTTAAGAATGTGGAAGGTTATGGAGGGAAGTTGAAGAAGTAGTGGGGGAGGAACGTTACAAAATGGATGACCAAAAAATAAAGGATGTGAATTCTGGTGATAGGTTGAGGAGATTGAACAGTTTTATGGTAAGATCGTGGGATAGAGAGGGAAGAGGAGCAATTATCTTAATGGCTGAGTGAACAGTTACTTTTCTCTGTGCATGTTTCCAAAATTTGTAATGACTACAAGTTGGTAACAGCTGCATGATATATTAGGTGACTCAGCAGAGACAGGTGTCTCTAATGACTTAGCATCCTTATCCCATAAGTTTGGGGAACGTTCCTATTTGAAGCAACTTGAAAACAATACATGTACAACATAAACACATATATACAATTTTAACTTAACCAAAAAGGAAAGATAAAACACACAATTTTTTTTTCGAAGAATGGGTTTTGTGGTTAGTTAACCAACCTAAAACTACGTTCCTGTCACGGAACAGATTATATTCTCAGAGAATTTGGGTGAACATCAGATGTTCCCCCTTGTTTTCCCTTTGTGTGGCCAAGTTAACCACCCAAAAATTTGTTCTTGTCAGGGAACAAAGGTAAAAAGCCAGGTTACCTCTCAGTCAGCGCTTAATTTAATGTCTTTAGCTAGACCCAATGTTCATTTTTTTATGTGGAATCAGAGAGAGGGATACTTTCCTCTTTATCATTGAAGGTGTCATCAGAATACAATTTCAGCATCTGCCCATTAACTTTGAAGGAACGACCGTGTTCAAATCCTTGAGTTTCAAAGGCCCCATTTCCTGAGTCTTGAATAATCTGATATGGACCAGTCCATCTTGATTTGAGCTTCCCAGGAAATAGTTTGAGCCTTGAATTGAATAATAAGACTTTCTGACAAACCTTAAATTCTTTATTCCTGATTCTTCTGTCATGCCACTTTTTCATTCTTTCTTTATACAGCTTGTGATTCTCATATGTATTTCCTCTGAATTCTTCCAATTCTTCCAGCTGAAGCAACCTCTTTTCTCCTATTGTCTTCTCATCTATGTTTAATGAATATATTCCCCAATATGCTTTGTGGCTTTGCCAAAGATCAATCTATATGGGGAACATCCAAATGGTGTTCTATAGGTTGTTCTGTAAGCCCACAATGCTTCATCTGATTTGAGAGCCCAGTCTTTTTGAGAAGGATTGACAACCTTCTCTAGAAGTCTCTTAACCTCTTGGTTAGATACTTCAATAAGCCCGCCGGTTTGAGGATGATATGGAGTTGAAACTTTGTGTCTTTCTCTATATTTTTCCAACAACCTCTCAAATTGGTGATTGATAAAGTGCTTCCCACCATCATTGATAATGCAGCGAGGTGTTCCGTACCTTGTCAAAATATTTTTCTTTAAGAATCTCACCACAACTTTAGCATCATTAGTGGGTAAAGCAACAGCTTCCACCCACTTGATCACATAATCAACAATCTTTAAAATAAATTTGTTCCCATAAGAAGGAGGAAATGGACCCATAAAATCAATGCCCCAGACATCAAACAATTTAACTTCTAGAATAGGATTAAGAGGCATTTCATTATGTTTGGTTATGTTTCCTTCCCTTTGATATCTATCACATTCTTTAGCATATTGAAGGGCATCTTTAAAAAGAAAGGGATAATATAAACCTAATTGAATTACTTTGGATGTAGTTCTGATTCCTCTTAGATGGCCTCCATATGGTGAGGAATGGCAGTGGAAGAGGATTTGGGCTTGTTCTTCTTCTGGAACGCACCTTCTTATCATTTGATCTGCACGTCTTTTGAACAATAGAGGTTCATCACATAAATAGTTCATGCAATCATGAAAGAATTTTTTCTTTTGCATTTTATTTTCCTCATAAGGTTCTATTCCTGCTGACAATAATCACCAAGGAACGTTTTTATCGTAGATGACAATAATTGTTCATCAGGGAAAGATGATCTGCAATCTGGTTCTCACAAGTTTCTATTCCTTGATAGGCAGACCCGCTTAAGTTTGTTCCAATCTGGAAAGATGATCTGTAATCTGGTTTTCACAACCTTTTTTTTACTTGACTTCCAGATTGAATTCTTGTAGATCCATCTAATTAAACGAGGTTTTGCTTCTTTCTTAGGAAACAAGTATCTGAGAGCTGCATGGTCAGTATGGACAGTAACTTTGGAATCAATAAAATATAGTCTGAACTTTTCGCATACATTTACTACAGCCAGTAGCTCCTTTTCAATGACTATATAGTTCACTTGAGCTTCATTCAAGGTTTTGCTGGCATAGTATATGCTACGAAATAGTTTATCCTAGAGCATATCTCCCTCCACAGAGGTCCAAGAGGGATGTGACATACATCATTTTGAAGTTTGAGATGTCAGATATGTTGTGTCAAAATTTGGTACCATTTAGAGTTGTGTAGCTCCTTGTAGTTGAGAAAAGAACACAAACTTTCCAAAGAGGTCCAGTGCAGGGGCTGTTCGAGTCTGTGACTTTCACGAATTATTTCTCCCTCAATTCTTACTCAAATTAGGCTCATGATATATCAAATTAAATCTCAAGGTGTCAGTATTCTGTATAAAAATTTGAGAGAAACTAGCTGATTGTTTTGTCCATAATCGCAAAAATGGTGAGGGACATTTGGTGCTCTGTTTTAGGTTGGCTGACAACTTTGCTTGTCCAACTTCAAACGGTTACAATCGGAGCTAGAGAACTCCAATTGAGGCGTGTGATACCTCGTTGGAAATATAATTGAGTGTAGTTTAACATACAAAAAGGTGAGAAATTAATGATGAGTAGGTTGCGCACAGTGACCAAAAAATAGAAGCATGTTCAGTTATAGAAAAATCATAAAAGTGAGATTTATGCTATGTGGGTTTACGGGAACCCCTTAGTAACTTAAAATAAGTAATGTATGATAGTTAGGCATGTATTTTTTTTAATTCTGCGTTTAGAATTCAGTTAATGTCATAGCTTATGCTATTACATTTTATTATTATTTTCAAATGCTTACGTAATGAAAAGGAAAAAAGTTTACTCGCATTTTTAAATGAACTGTTGTGATTCTAACTGCGCTTAATATCATAATCAATGTTAACAAGGAAGGAGTTGAGAGAGTTTCCATGGGTGACATAGGATGAATGTACAGTTATGACACCACATTAATTACGATTCTAATTGGCATACTTGCCATAGATAAAATGAAGAGTAAATACTCTTTTTGGTCCTCAGCAAATTTCACGATGCCCGCTTTAGTCCCTAGAATATAAAAAGGCTCATCATGGTCCCTAAGAAATTCAAAATGGACCCATTTTAGTCCTTTTAGGGACTAATATGGGTCTTTTTTGAATTTGTGAGGGACCACGATTTCAACTAAATGGATCCATTTTGAATTTCTTAGGGACCACGATGGGCCTTTTTATTTGCTAGGGACTAAAGCGCGCATCGTAAAATTTGCTGAGGACCAAAAATGGTATTTACTCTAAAATGAATAGGACATTTAAATTGTAGAATATTATGTAAAATAGTAATGAAAGTGTATAAGAAATTATGATCCAGTGGTGTATATATATACTACTAATAGTAGTGTGCTTGTGAAATAATCTGATATTTTATATGGATTGTGGGGAATATAGTATGATGTGATATAGTATATATACATATGGATATAGTCTCTTGGTAATGGGGACGGGACTTCCCCTAGAGCAATACCCTGTGTGGGTTTCCAGAAACGGCTCTTGCCAAAGGGGTGTGTGTGTGCACAATGATAGCATGACAATAAGAAAGAAAGCATAACATACTTGTAGGCTTTACCTCTTATTTATAGAATTTACCTGTGGGTATTAGATTCTGAACCTTCAGTGCTTCTCCTAACGGCCCAAGCCCATATATTATGCTGTCGTATTAGGATTGATATCTTTGATGAATATCCTTCCTTAACTATATCTGATTTATATTTGGATTGCCCCTTATTGGGCTTAGCAATAAATGGGTCCCGTATATGGGCCCATAATAGCACTAATCCATTGCTAACCTGCAGATGAATCGTAACACAAAGGGTGAATCATTTGCATGATTGCCATCAAGTATAATTAAGTAGCAATATACCTAATATCAGAAAAAAAAATTAAAAATTAAAAAAAACTAATTAATGATATGTTTGATTATAAATAATTTTTAGAAAAATTTTCCAACAATTGTTTTAATATTTGCTTTTCTTAAAATCCGTAGAAAGAGAGTCCATTGTTGCAAAATAATTCATTTTTATATTATTTTTGTTTAACATTTTTACATTATGTTTCTCTTGAATAATAAAAAAATTAACTCTTTTTTTTTATAACAAAAAAAAATTAACTCTTTAAGAAGGCAACCAATGCGCAAATTAGTTGGCAAACTATCTGTTGGTACACTTAGAATTATCTGATGAGGCTCACTTCTCTGACACCCCCTCCTCCAAGGATTATGATGTCATTTCAGACTAGGATATGATCTTTGCTAGACGTGCGCAGACTCTCTAGGAGCTTTTGGGCCTGTTTGGAGCACCTGATAAAGAAGATAGGATAACTTATCATATCTTACTTTTATCTCTTGTTTGGTGGGTCAATAGGATATAATTAGCTTATCCTATTGTCTTATTTTATCCTATCAAATATATGATTTCTTATCCTATGGGGGAGCTGGGTTAGGATTCAATAGGATAGGATACCAATATTGAATACCCAATATATCCCCACGCTACCTAATATATTTGTATTTATTGCATTATATTTTATTTTTTCTTTCTCCTTTCTCTTTCTACATAATCTTATCAGATTGCTAATCAGGTGCTCATCAAACACAGGACATGATATAGGCTTATCAGCCCTATATCATATCCTACCCTTATCAGTTCCATATCATATCATACTCTTATCCTATCTTGTTCACCAAACAAAGCCTTTATGTCTAATTTTTCTATATTTTATTTTTCTCTAAATTTTTGTCTTTACTGCAATGTATCCAAAAAAAAAAATTACCCAAGTTAACTATATTTTTTCCCCTAAATAAAGTAGTATAACATAACATAAAACATATGAAAATATATATATTTTTTAACAAAAAATCTTTTTTTTAGTAAATATTAAAAAAAATTAGGAATATATGAGCGTGTGATTCTTTTTAATATAAATTAGCATCCATGATGTAGTCTAACAAGGACAAAAAAAAATTAATTATTGCATTTTAATTAAATAATTACGCATTTATTGCTGTTTGGAGAATAATTACAGATTTATTGCACAATGTGACGCACCTTTTGGGCGTCACATGTGACGCCCCAGTGAGACGTCTCTCATGAAGGAGAAGACGCCCCAATGAGGGCGTCTCATGTGCACATCTATAAATTCCCACATTTTACCATTTCACTCCTCACTCATTCACCTCTCTCTACCTCTCTCTAACCTCTCTCTAACCACTGTTCGTAGCGAAGCTCTGCCAACTTAGGTAAGGTCGTAATACCTCCTATGTATACGTTTAAATTACAGTGGTTGTTAGTAATACATGTTAGGATTGATCGTATATTAGAGACTTAGAACATTAGGATAGTCACTTAGAAATTTTGTGCCATGCTATGAATGTTGTAATGATACTTCCCTTTTTTTGTTACGTAGCTATTATTATTAATATGTAAATTATGCATTAGGGTTTAGTGTATTAATTAGTGATTTAGAAAATAGTGATAACGACTTCGTAAATTTTGTCTGTATGATGTTATTAATGCAGGAGTGTATTCATAATTTTGTAGTCAGTTAGGTGTGATGATTAGTACATATTTATGAAGTTATTAGTGACCTAGGGTTAAGTATTCTGTAAGTATTATATTATTTTTGTCCAATGTTTTTTTATTATTTAATTACAAATAAATGACTGTACTACGTATTAACATTATTTCATTAATTTCGATTCTAGTAAAATAAATGACGCATATGCTTACTTTTTTTGATAATAAATTATGGCATTGCTTAATTAATTTGTAAATAAAATGGGGCATTACATGTGATTAATTTAAATGTTGTTTTATATGATATAGTTGAGGGTAATGGCTGATTTATCATCTTCATCGGGTTCTGCATCGGATGTAGAGCCTACCGATCCCAGCATGTACATCATACCTGGGCCGTACAAGAGGGGACGTCCTTCGTAAGAGGACGCAGCGTGCTCATATTTCACAGCGAGTGTGGAACACGGAGCATGTCAGGAAAATAAAGACCAGGCGTGGGAAGCCAACGGGGGGCCCCCTACCGGCGCTATCCTAGAGGTTGTCGCAAACTACCTGACACAGGCTGGATTTATACATGTTTCTCGGATGCGACATATCCAGGTATGCAATTTACGTTGTTTTGTATTTATGTAAGGGAAAACTTCAAAAACCCCCATATAAGTTTCTTCAGAATCACTTACCCCTCTCCCAAAAAAATTTAATCATTTACACCCCTACTTAAAACATCATTTACACCCCTACTTAAAACTTTTTTATCACTTACCCCCCTAACTTGATTTTCCATCCAAGTTAAACTTAACAGAGTTAATTTTTTTTAAAAAATACCAAAACTATCCTTAAAAAAAGGAATTAACCTTTAATACTAACTAAACACCTTATGGCTAGCAAGAAATAACACACTGCAGCAAGGAATTTTTCGACAGTGCTTATTACAGGAATTTGGTTAACAAAAAGGATCTTTTTCACTCTGACCAGCAACTCTTCAATGGTGGTTCCACGAATCAAAAAGTTTTGGAGTATGCCACAAATCCATTACTCTTCAGACTAGATTTTGGTAATATGATGATCAAGATGGGCAACCTTAGCCTACTAACTGGCACACAGGGTCAGATCACAAATATATGCGGCACCATTAAAATATTAAGTTTTAAGTTTTTGTTGTGAAGTTTCTACGTTTAACTGCTGCATGTAGTTTGAGGAAATATTACAATAATTGTATGATGCCCCCTGTATGTTGTGGTGTTTTTTTTTTTTTTTTTTGAAATTTGTCTATTTGATTTGAAAATCGTGACATACTTCTTATATATATGGGATACATACCTTACAGTTTCAGGCTTTCAGTGTTCACCATTTGGTCATTGAGATTTTTAAAAAAACTTCAAAAAAATTCCCCCGTAAGGTGTTTAGTTAGTATTAAGGGTTAATTCCTTTTTTTGTTTTAAGGATAGTTTTGGTATTTTTTTATAAAATTAACTCCGTTAACTTTAACTTGGATGGAAAATGAAGTTAGGGGGGTAAGTGATAAAAAAAAATTAAGCAGGGGTGTAAATGATTAAAATTTTTGGGGAGGGGGTAAGTGATTCTGAAGAAACTTATAGGGAGGTTTTTGAAGTTTTCCCTTTATGTAATTATTCAATATCATTCGTTAACACGCTGATTATTGCATAATTTATCACAGATCGATGCCCCTTTAATTAGTGCTCTGGTCGAGAGGTGGAGACCAGAGACACATACTTTCCCTCAGAATAGTTACCAACTGGAGACGCATGAGCGGCAGACAAAGATGGAAGACGGGGAGAATTTAAAACAACTGACCTTACCGGTAACGGAACATTCTCGGTTGCGGCGATGTCGACATACAACTCCAGAAAATCTGTCCTTCACTGGTTGACAAATTCTTCCATTGTCATCTCCAGGTCTTCATCGTCAACCACTTGCAAACTAATGTATTTATCACATTGCCATAACCTTGTCGTGATCTGAGTGATACATTTGTTGTCTTAAAGACTTAACTTCTGCCGAATTCTCTGATGCAGTTCGCCAATGGTTGCGTTGCGTTGGATACGTGTCGGCCTTTTTTCACCTTCAAACATGATACCTCGTCGACCTTCTACCTTCCTACCATTGTAATATAACACAACACGAACAGAATCAGGACGTGAACTCATTCTTAAATAGAATAAGAAATAAAATTCAAATACTAAATTAAAGGGAATAGATATGAAGAGTGAGAGAAGAGGTGTGAAGAGTGTATGGAGAGGTGAGAGATTATATAAGCTGAGAGACGCCCCATTGGGGGGTCACATGTGACGCCCAAATGTGGCGTCACATTATGCAGTAGATGTGTATTTATTCCCCAAACTATCATAATTACGTAATTATTTAATTAAAATGCAATAAATAAATTTTTTTTCCGTCTAACAAGTGCTCTTGTAATCCAAAAAATAAACGGGTTACAAAACTAAAAAATAAAATAAAATTACCATCCACGAAAATGATTGTACCGGTTGATTTTTTTTTAGATCTGATGACATGCAACAACGACCACCACACACACAAACTTCACAGATATCGTTAAGTTGTTCCATATCAACGATCAAACAGGATGAACAAATATAAACGTGGACCAATAACAATTCACAAGCTAGCATCATTACCCAATGGCAATCCACTTTTGGATTCGCCTATATCCACACCACACACTATAATCTTGTATATCCCCAATCCAACTGTCATTCTCTTAACACATAACCATCCATTCTTGTTCTCCAAAAAAAGAAAAAACCATCCATTCTCATAGTTCTTCAGAACACAGACATTCAAACTCTGAGAATGGCTTCCAACACATTGATGAGTTCTGCTCTCTCAGCCTTCCCATCTCTTCTTTCTTCCTCAAAATCAAGATTTGCCTCGGCGGTTCCACTTTCGTGCTTTGGTTCCAATTCCGCTGGTCGCTTCACCATGACTGCTGACTGGATGCCAGGCGAGCCTAGACCCCCTTATCTTGATGGTTCAGCTCCTGGGTATGCATCAATTTCCCATTTTGTTTAGTACAACAAATAAAAAAAAATCTCTCAAGCGTTGTGCACATACATGTTGATGATTTGAATTCTTTGTGGGTTTTTGTTTTGATGATGATTTGTGCATACATGTTGTGCTTTTGCGTTTCAGTGACTTTGGATTCGACCCTCTTCGTCTTGGTGAAGTACCAGAGAATCTTGAGAGATTCAAAGAGTCAGAACTCATTCACTGCAGATGGGCCATGCTTGCTGTTGTAAGTGTCACCTTGTATGATATTAGAAGAAATTTGCATTTTAGTCCTTTCCAAATTGTTTAGCCTCCATCACCCCCACATTTACATGGTTCATCCTCTTTGTTCGGTGACATTCACAATCTATTTCTACATGGCTCAGTCACTAGATGATGAGTAGTTTTTAGCATTCTCAGTTTGAAATCCTTTGCAAATTTGTTTCACTTTTGAAACAATCTCAATTTGATAAAAAAATAAAAATAAAAAAGAGTAAATAACCTTTTGCGTCCCTCACAAAAAATATGATACGGGTTCCAATTTAGTCCCTTTAAAAAAAAATTAGTCAGTTAGTTCGTAACAAATTCAAAGTAGACCTATTTTAGTCCTTTTCAGGAACTAATATGGGTCTTTTTTGAAATTGTGAAGGACCACGATTTTAACTAAATGGGTTCACTTTGAATTTGTTAGGTGCAAAAAAAAAAAAGATATTTACTCAAAAAATTTTTTTTTTTTTTTTTTTTAATGTTTTCACTTGGTTCATGTTACCACTTGAACCAATTATTATGGATGAATTTTTTGCATTTCAGATATTCTCTTTTCTTGACCCTAATAAAAGTGGTAAAATTCTTAATTTTGCAGCCTGGGATGTTGGTACCAGAGGCATTGGGCTTAGGCAATTGGGTACAAGCTCAAGAGTGGGCAGCAGTTCCAGGGGGCCAAGCAACCTACCTAGGCAACCCAGTTCCATGGGGCACCCTCCCCACCGTTCTGGTAATTGAATTCCTTGCTATTGCCTTCGTGGAGCATCAAAGGAGCATGGAGAAAGACCCAGAGAAGAAGAAATATCCTGGTGGTGCTTTTGATCCTTTGGGATACTCTAAGGACCCTAAAAAGTTCCACGAATACAAAGTCAAAGAAATTAAGAATGGTAAGCACTTCTGAGCTATAAGATATGTATTATTGGGTAATGAGTAATGATGTTTGTTGCATTGTATTAACTGTACTCGTTTTTTCATTTGAACGGTTTTTGAATATTTATGTCAAACATTTTACATTTTGCAGCACTTACCAGCTTATAGTTATTTGTTCATTAAAATGCATCTACTGATATAAATTTAGAACTAGTGATTTAATATATCAGCCCAGACGATGACATCGATTTTTTGTATAGAAAACTGACTAGATTTGTTATTTGTTCAATGTTTAGGACGTCTTGCTCTGTTGGCTTTTGTGGGGTTCTGTGTTCAACAATCAGCTTATCCCGGCACTGGACCCTTGGAGAATTTGGCTACACACTTGGCTGATCCATGGCACAACAACATTGGAAATGTCCTTATTCCCTAATCGCTTTTGCCTTGAAAAGTACAATCTTCTTGTATAATGAATCAGATCTCGTTATGTTGGTTTCTCTTTGCTGTAATTAAACTTTGAATTAACATGTTTCAAAACTCATAGTTTGGCAACTCGTGGGTATGTAAGAAAAGCCTAAAGCGAACTCAAGTCAAGTTGGTTATTTGCACTACATTCATATCTGCAACATCAATGTTATAATTCGGGTGCGCTCGATGAACCCAAAATCCAAACAAAAGCAACAAAAAATTGAAGGAATAGAAATAATAAATAAAAATAATAATATATAAAATAAAATATAGTAAATAAATATAAAGATAGCAAACATTAGTAGTATTGATGATTATTAGATTACTGTTGAGTGAGTTTCAGTGTAGAATCTAACGAATGAAAATAGAGGGACTTAAAACATTCCTATGATAATTTGTAATTGCGTAGATATCAAAATGTTATGTAAAATTAAAAATAAAACAAAAATAGTGAGGTCTTTTTGAAGTTTTATGATAAACTTGTGCTTATATAATCGATTACAATGTCTAGTCAACGGATAAATAGAGGCCCAATAATTTTTGTTTTAAAAAGGGTCTAAAAGCCAAAAAAATGTATCTTGTTCTTTTTTTTTTGAAAAAATTGGGAGATAAAATGTTGTTGAGGTGGCACAAACTCGAAAAATTAAAAAAAAATGGAATTTTTTTTGACCAAATCCCCTTCAATAAGAAGTATTCCGTAGATATCAAAAGATTATATGGAATCAAAAAAGAAATTCGTTATAATTAGACACTCCAGTCAAAAGTTATGATATTTTAAAATTTTACAATCAAATTGTTGACTATTTTGTATCATTTGTCGTCACTTGGTGAGTTGCGCCCAAATGGGGCGCAACCCAGCATTAGATGTGTCGAATTATAGCGTGAACAGTAATGCCAATTTTGAGTGCAACTGATTGTTATAAATCTATAAATGATTCTAAAATACTACGTTTTCATAATAAATAATATTTAATTTTTGTTTTGCCTAGAAACTACTCTAGCGGATTTTCATCTATGGAGGTGTTTGGTATGGAGAATCTGATAAAATTCTTGGAAAAGTGGTGTAGGTCAAATATATTTACCATGTTTGGTATATGTTTAATTTACCAAATACTAGTATATTATTTTGCCAGTCAAAATGGTTTTGTACTACACTCTGCAAAAAAAAATGCACTTTAAAACAATATTTTTTTAATCTGAGTAATGGGCAGACCCCCTTTCCAATTTGAAGACCAAAATGTCCTGAATAAACTTTTCGAAAATGGATTGCTAAAACGTATTTGCTGACTTTGATTAAAAATTTGAACATAATAGGTAATTTTGTAATTTCAGTATACATTTTCATCAATATTTCACCATCAACCAAATATAGTATTAATAAAAATAATCCAATTTTCTCGAAAAAATTAATGTCTATCAAATACTTTTTTGTAACTTACCCAGGCCAAAAAAATTCCATCATATTTTGGGATATTTTTTTTTCCGATTCTAACAAATTTCTCCCATACCAAATATGTATACTATTTTGCAGTTAGCTCATTCATTAGGGGCCGTTTGGTACGTGGCTTTTCTTAGGATTTCTGGGAAAATATTTTTTTCTAAATTTTAAATTTTCAAGTATTATCGTAAACTGAATGTAAAAATCGTATTTTTGAAAATCGAGGATCCCGGAAAAAAAAAAAAATTCTGTACCAAACGCCCCGTTAAAGTCATCTAATGACACGATTTGTTAAGTGTTGAGGTGGCATTTTTTGAAGCTTCTCCAAACCATCTAATGCCACGTGACGTCAAGTACTTCCGAAGAAGCTAATTTAAGTTGAAAATATTGTCCGTACTTCTTTTACCAAATATATTAAAAAATAATATTTTAATGGATTTAATATTTCTGTAGTAAATACATATAATATATCTACATTCACATTCAAAATAATATCGTTTTGAATTAAAAAATTAAAAAATTATAATGATAAAGACTATTATAACTTTGAAAAAAAAATTCAAAATAATTTAATTCATAAAATGATGCCATTTTGGGCTCAATGCAGAAAATTTATCCGCACCGGAAAAAATGAGTCCTACTTTTATATTTCCCTTATCTTTATATTTATTTCTATCCATATCCCATATTTATTTATTTTTTTTGAGCAAAGAATATGTACTGAAAATGATCTCATCAAGTTTTCTAATACCAATATGTGTCAAGGCAGGCATAGCTTATTCCAAATAAACATAAAACTTCGGGAACAGTGACCAAATTGGTCACTTTTTTATCAATGTGTCAGGCGAATAATATTATTTTCAAATATGCCACATGTCAAAAATTGCTACAGCAGGCAGCTAGCGAACATGGTTTGCTGATATTGCATGTTTCTAGTGGCCACCTAATTCTGTACTGGGTATAGCGAACTAAGGGGCAATTAATGCTACCTGCTATGCCATATGACAGACTCAGAGGAGTTGGTTGAATGGGTCAGCGAACTAGGTAGGAAGCAAATGTCAACTGTCAGCATCTTACCTAATTCGTTGCTTTGCCTAGTGAACTAGGTACAAAAAAATTGCCATCTGTCCGCATCTCACTTCATTATCTCATGCAAAGCTGCTAAAGTCATCTAACTTCAAATATGGACGTAGTTTTTTTCCACATAAATCTAAAATTTTACTAGAGAACGAACTTTTAAAACTCAATCAATGGGAATGCTATAAAAAGCTCGAGCTTATATAACATAAATTTTTTTTCCTTAAAGAATTATGAGGACCATTATGTTTCAGTTAGATGGTTAAGGGGGTCGTTAAGGGAGCCATAACAAATAGATGGTTAGTCAACTTTTGTTCTTTTTCACAGAACTTTCCTTCCCTATCATATCACTTGATCTTTTATATTTTAGCAACACTTCAAGAATAGATGTCAAAGAGCTTGTTTATGAAGTTGCCTCGTTACAACAACAGGTTGTTGATGAAGTTGCTTCCTTGCAGCATAGGTTCAATGATAGCTGGAACCAGTTTTTCGCTATTTGCTGCTCAAGTGCAACAAATCCATGAAACTGTATTTAGGATTTTAGGTTGAAGACATGCAAAAGGGAATCAATCAGACACCGACTTTTTTAGCCTTAAACTTGTTGATAATTTAAGTGTGAGTGTTACAGTCCCACGTTTATTAGAAATGGATTAATTAAGTAGTGGAAAATGTAACATCCATTCTCGAGCCGATTTGTTACACAACTTTATGGTCATAAAGCTTACTTGCTTAATTAATTAGCGGAAGACTTTACTTATTTTAATTCACTATAGTTTACCAGACTAAGTGATGTAAATTTTTTTCTTTTAAAAGTCTATTACATAATTACCTTTCTATCTTATTAATTCCTATTTTTTTGATGACTTGATTATTAATTAGCAACTATAAGCAGTCGTTTAATATCTTCCCAAATATAATAACTTGTATTATTCCTGACAGAAAAATGGACAACATAACAACTGTAAATTGAATCTTTCCAGGGACTACAATCCCTCAATATACACACACCTAATAAACAGCAAGTCCAAAACATATCAAATTTACATACAGTCATAATCCACAACTATAGATACATCACATCAAAAGATGGCTTTATACCATAACTATAAAATCCTACGTCACAATTATATACATCTGCATATAGGCTAGTACAGCCTCAAAAGACTATCTGATATCTATGCCTCATCGAAATATCATACAACCAAACTAGAGTAACACACACACACACACACACATATATATATATATATATATATATATATATATATAGCAGACTCCTAAAGTAAGCTGATAACTTATATGCTCTGATCTACTCATCAACCACAGGCTTCTTGCCCTTAGAACGATCACCAACAGCTGCGGTACCTGAAAAATGTTCCCATAACGCGGGGTGAGAATAAATCTCAATAAACTTGGGGTTTAAAGAGCAGTCACCACCCAAGAGTCCACTTCCTGCAAGAAAATATCAAGTACCAAGCATAGAATACACCATATAATCCATATTAACAATTTCATATCGTATTTCTTTTCTGATAATTCTTACTTGTTCTTATATCGTAATTTCTTCTGAATATTAAATCTGTTCATATCTTATGTGCCCATTAGGTTTTCATCTTGCTCTCGTAATATCATCTTACAACATATCTTATCATATCTACTAACACACTTATAATGATTAGAAAACTAAAGTTTCCTCGGCCATACCTTATGCATATCGTGATCATATCCTTACACGTTTCCATTGTTCGTAAAACATAACTTATACTTCCAGGACGGTATCCCACAGAAGATCTTATCAGATTAACTTATCATAACATATCGTATCATATCATAAATAATATCATATGCATGCACTATATGAATGCAACTATGTAAAGTATCAATATTAACAATGAAAGAAAGGGCCTTGAAGGCCGTAGGCATGTGAGGATGAAAACAAAAATTTTCGAAGCGGAATTACACATACCAATTCAAGATACATGCTTTAGGACAGAATGTTACCTTGTTTGTAATTCAAAACTCGAAGATGATTAATGTTAGGCTTGAAGGTTCAAACCCTCTAATGTTGATCCACACCACCCTTTGTCAAGATGCAAGAACCGTTCTTGAAAACCACCAATCGAACACCAAAAGGAAGCAAGCTAAGCGTCCCAATAGGAGAGGAAGGATGCAAGGTTTCAAGGTGTTTAGATGAGTGAATTTTCAGCAAGAAAATACACAAAAAGTGGCGCATGAATTAGTAGAGAAGGAGGGGCAGTTTTTTCTTAAAAACCCTTAGAAAATAATAACCAAAAGGAAAGAACTTAAGGAGAGGAGAGAGCAATAGGTTTAAATAATATTTTTCTCCACAAAATCTGATCATGGAGCGCCCCTTTGGTGGAGGAGAGAGTGGAGTTGTTGCAAATCAAATCTAGCCAACAAACTCCTATCCTATCCTCATAAGACTAAGTCAACTACTTGTCAAAAATCTGGCCAAATAACCATCACATGGTCAGCCATATGGTGCGCCCCATTCAGCCCAAATGCAGTCCAAAAATATTGAGTAGTTGCAATTCAAA